GAAGAGGAGGAGACGGATACTCAGGGCTGCGACACTAACTCGAGCCCGCTGCAAGAGAGTAGCAACGAAAGTTTGACAGAGAGTGACTGCCTGTTGGATAATTTTAAGAATGAGCAATGGTGTACGGAGAACGATGAAAACTCGATGGAGGCTGAAGACGAGTGCACCTGTGAGCTGGTATGCAAGCAGGTGGTGTCAAAAATAGCCGATAAATGTTCCTCATCGACAATGCTGGAATTGCGAAGTATTGAGGAGCGAGCCAATAAATTGTGGGAAGCGCTAAACGCGAATGTGCGCAACAATACGTGCTCGAAAATGCCCAACTGGTGGGATCTGAAGACTTGGCAGAAGCTGCCATTCTACTGGGCAGCATTGTCCAATGACATACTCTGCGAGGACCCCTTCGAGAATTTCAAGCGCTTCTACATGGGCAGCAAGAAGTCCAACAAACGCAGCGCCAAGCGTCAGATGGAGCGTATGCTCATTCTATGGCACCGACTGTGCCCCAAGCAGCGCTTGCCATTCATCATGGAGGCTTTCATCAGCAAGGTGGGTGCTGGGAAGGTGAACATCAGCGATGAGCACGAAATTCAACGCATCATCTGTGAGCTGCAGAACAAATGAGCAGTGAGACACCTCTTCCTCCTCCTCTTTACTGTATATCTTTGTGTAGCGCTCTATGTGTGTGTGTGTGTGTGTGTTGTCCAAATATTTTAATTTAAATCGAAGAAGTGCATGCGGGTATTCTAAATAAATATGTGCATTTATGTGATGTGTAGAAATAAAGCGAGTATTTTTTTTTTTTATAAATTTCCCACAAGCTTCATTGCTTTGTCAATAACGCATGCCATTGTGTTATTGCTTGTGATCGATCAGTCATCACAGCGCGATCGCTGCTTGATCGACAACATGTGGGGGGCGAGTACTTGATGGCGTATTAAAATAAATAATATTCTGAATATACATACATATACATATAAGATATTATTGTTGTATGCAAAAAAAGCAAAAGTGGGAAAATGAAAAAATAGCTATATTTAAGAACGAATATGTGTAGCTAAGAGGGTGTTTGCGAGAGAGGCTTTAGTGAGTTCTAAGGGTAGACTTTAGTTTAGGTTTAGTGAGCTCTTCGATTTTCAAAAAGATGGTTACAGACGAATAGTGCAACTATAGGTTTTGTACTTATGTATATTTAAGATCTACAATACCTAGCGTCAAACCACCCAGAAGACCAGAGACAAACGGGTCAGATTAACTTTTTATAACCGCTCATAGTAGCTAGAGAGGCATGCTGATATCGACATCCTCGAATGAAACACTCGCTCGGTATGAGGCTTCGTTGAATTTGCAAAGAAAGGTAGAACTAAATAAAAAAGCACTCCTCTTCCCTCAGCCTTGAGTATTACGTCAACTTGTGAATCCAGTAATATAATAGGCTTGTCTTATCTTTAGGGGTTAATCAAGAAGATGAAAAAATACTTAAAAACTATTTGTTGCCAAAAATAAGAGAAAAGTAGTTTTTGTAATATTATTGCGTTAATTTATTAAGTGACTCTAGATGGGGCTTCTAGTAAAACTGCATATTTTCTAAATGCCACTTGTGGCCGAATAAAAGCTTGACAACAACAAACATACAAAAATATGTATGAACAGTGTTGCGTTCCATTCTACAATATATCCGTCCGATTGCCCGGCACTTGATGCTTTAGATTGTTGTTCCGTACGTTGTCTCAATTTGTGCTACACGAAGTTATTTTACTTAGACTCGATTTACGAGAAGCAGATGTTGTCCAAATGTTTTCGCACTGTTGTTGTT